AACCCATTAGCAAAATTTCAACGCCGAAGCTTGGTCGGTTACCGAGTTGAAATACCAGGACAGACGTACGCACACGCACACACACATGCACACACACTCATACATACACACCATAAGTTGTCACACATACGTTTTGCTTTTGTATGCATGCAAATACATAATAAGTTATTGTGTACTCCTATACAAGCCTTCGGACGCCTCAAATATATTTGTGAAGTATAGCGATTTTGGGGACTTGTCAAGCTAGGAAGCTGAAAGTTTCGAGGATACTGAATGTCCATATGCAAGCCTGAAAGAGTAGAAAGGGCTTTTGCTTAAGCATGCCCCCTGCTTATGGGCGCATTAAGTTTGTGTTGTAACGCTTTTTTTCCACACTTCTCTCTCGGTAATTAGACAAGAAAGTGAGGATTTTATAGTGATAGATTTCCTGGGCAACACTAAAAGCATAATACCAGCTTATACGTCCCACATATGGGTACAGCAAACTGCAGGTTACAGAATTGTTGTCACCCTTCCAGCACACGCTAGAAAGCTGAAATTTCGCTAGGCTGCTTAGTACAACGCTACCTTTTCAGCAGATACATTTCCCCTGTTCCCAAGTGTGAGAAATTACCAACAAGTCCAACATAACTGCTCATGTTAAACTGTAAAGCAACTACCATTGGTAGTGTTAATGATCTGTTTGTTTCATGAAATCATGCGAAAACGTATGGCTAATTATTATTTTTGAGCGGCACCATTATGTGTTGGTGCAGCAGCATTTCGCATTTGCAATTCTCTTTTTTTTCAAGCCCTGCTTTTTTCGAACAGTCCATCCTTTTTTGCTGTTTGTTGATTTGTTTTGCCAAGTTTTTGTTCATCCCTAAGTAGTAGTTTTCAGCTTACTTTACAAGCAGCATGCAAAGCAATCAGGCGTGACGGACTTGCCGCTTCTGATACACTAAAGGAATGACATCGTACACAGAAGTTTGCTCACATCTTAATATTTTTAGCTCTTCTGATTGCGTCTTTTAAAAAAATTCATTTCATTTCTTTAGCACACTTAGTATTTCAAATTTTAGTAAACAGTGGCGACAGCAGCAGCACAGCAGGGCAGCAGCCGTAGCTAGGTTGACAGAGTATCACTTGACGCTTCCAAATTGTACAAGTTTCCAACACATTATTAAAAATGATGGGAACATCAGGGATCGGGCAGCCATTAGTGGTAATAGGATTGGAGACACAGAGTAGTTTTTGCTGTGATAAAAAAACTGCGCAAGGAATTCGAATTGTTTAGTCACGCAGTCGAGGGTGCTGCATGCCGTGCCATCCTCGCAGTATTCTTTAGCTGATCGTTTTGAAAAAAAAAAGTGATTTTCTTGTTCTATGGGTTCTTTTTTTGCTTTCCAGAATGGTGATATTCTCAAGCCGTTTATCGATTTTGATGAGAATCGCGAAATGTTGGTTACACTGCGCCAGATGACTGACAATGGTTACCCTTTTCCGGGCAAGCGCACTGGCTATCCCAACAATCTCTCGTTACCTCCGATTATTCCAACAAAAGTAACATTTTTGGCAGCTGTGTTATCTTTTTTTTTTTTTTACGATTTTCTGTCATTCATTGGTGAGATTGTGTCTCTGAGAGACGAGTCTCGCCGACGGGAAGAAGCAGTCTGGAAATGTTTGAGTGACATCGCTTTGCCAACAACAGCCACATTTGGCCGGGCTGTTGATGGTTGCTTCTTTTGAGGGTTGCATAAAAGCAGACTGAAGGCGCTTATTGCTCTTGCTTTAGGCACGCTAGTACCGCTTTGCTTTAAAACGAATCAGCGAATCATAGCGAGATTGCTTTTTCCGTTGGCATATTCAGATTAACTGTGCGGGCGTTAGAGCAACCGGCACTCACCGCTGCACGAGGCAATTACTAAACCTCAGCTCACCTTGACAGGCGCCAGAAATGATTTGCGAAAAATTCTGTCATTGGCGGGTATCCCTACTCCACTGTGACAAAAGATGTTGGCTGCCTTCGATGGGATGCAGATGAAGGGTGGGAGGGTAGTGTATGCGAGTTTCGCGCGCGGGGGATTCGAGACAAGGTGAAGGGTTTGTGTGGGTGGACTGAATGGCTACGTGGCGTGGGTCCTTTGACAGTTGGCTAAGTCACGTAGGAGAGAGATGAAGGGGGTGATGGACGCAGGGGAGGAGGGGCTGTGTTCCTGGTTTTGCTGTGGATAGCCGGGGTGGGGTAAAATATTTGCTTACTTCCAGAGTGTTCTTACAGTGGGGATTGGAGAGGAGCTCGGACGTTGCTTTGCATACAGAATTTGAGGCAGAGTAAAGGAGGATGAGGATACAAGTTTGAAGCTCGAAGCGAAAACAGGAGACAGCTGTAAAGAGAAAGAGAAAACAAAGAACTATAAAAAAAAGTAAATTAAAGCAAACCTGGGCGTAGGAATAAAGCAAAATAAAAAAAAAAGATGTGAATCA